CTTCCGCCTAAGAAAAACCGACACATGAAAAGGTTTAAATCAACGTGAGCTCCGGCCAAGACTTTTAATGGATGGGGTGGAATTCATCTACAATTTTTAGGTCGTAAAATATATATTGTGTTCAAGTTATACGTTGTTAACGAACTTAAGTTATTTTTCCGTTTGAAGTTTGGTTGTATATGATATAATTTTGTAAGAATTTATTTCATTGTGATTTATATTTATACTTTTGGTCCGTAGTATGTCTCCAGTTTAAGTCCAAAGAAAATTGGGTATTTCTTACAGTTACACTTCATATAGTACATTATTTTTTCTGACCTTTCTTTACGATAACATTAGATCTCTTATTAAAAATACATCTCCTTAAATCAACCAGAAAAATCAATAGGCCGTAATCTGTGACAACTATAAAGTGTAGGTTATCAATCGTTCGTTACCTTTGTAGTAAATACTAATGGCATGGTACGACCTATGGGCTACGGAGACAGTGTACCGTCACTTACATTTCACCGGACGGTCCACACAGGTGTACAACGACTCTCGACCTACAAACGGACCGTCCACACGTCGCGAGGCACACGGGTTCTCTGCCTGTGACCAAGGACCTTCGACGGACCGTCCGCCTCTGGCTGGCGTCCTGCCCACCACAGCCGTCTACCTCGCCTGGTCTCCCTGTTGCTGGACGGCCCTCCTGTCATGCAGAGCAACACGTACATCTCCGAAGGTACGTACATGGACCCACCCTGCTTTAACAAATGAATTCATTTTCATGTTATGATGCACATTTTTTATGAGGGTCAATGTTCATTTTCAGGGAAGTCTTAGTTTATGGTTTTACTATGAAATCATTTTCATTGTTTCAGATCGTTACTTCTATATGAAATTAATGGTTTTTCTTTTCATAAGTAATACGTTTACAGGTAATTTGTGTATGTAAGCTTATTAACGAATATTACATTTAACTACGGAATAAGCAGTGAAGTTACACGTGAACCATTTTCGACCCGAAATAAACTTCATATGCCTTTATTACCCAACGAACTGCTATTATCATATACTAGTACTCAAGAAATTAAATATAAACAAAGTATCGGAATAAGACACCATTCTCATAAGTGATTATAACAGTTTATTTCCTCCCCTTATCTTTATACTTTTTTTTTTCAACGTATACACTTATATGGTTCATTTCATGTCCATGGAAGTTCCAAGACACGAAACACAAAAGAGACTAAAGAAACGGAAAAAGAGACGGTAGGAATAGTACCCAATTTTAGGCTCGACCTATGCCCTTCCGTTGAAACCGCGTTTGAACTACACTAAGTAATCGTAAGTACTAATAAAACAAGTGCGTCAAGTCCAAAGGTCTACTTAACGTAATGACTAAGTGTTCTTGAAGTCTATTTCGCTTTACTAAGTGTATTGACATAATCCAATCAACTTCGGTAGTATAATGTATTTAATGAATGATTTATATATTGAACCAATTAAATATATACGCGAAAAGGTTCCACGAGTTTCTGGTGAAATTAACTGTCAATAGGCAAATTGCGAACACAGGTTTCACGAATGTACGTAGTCATGACTTTATGACACTTACGTTAGTACACATTAGACCACGGTACTTGTGTGCAATTAAGTTCAGTTGAAAGCAAAAAACCCACTTACGCTGACCTGTACCCGGTGTACACTTCTCGACTCTCCGTACTCTTCACAACTAATTGTCGAGACTCCTCGTCTCACACACACAGAGCACTTGGACAGACGACAGAAGAGTCAGGACCCCTTTACACTCCTCACGCTACCCTTCACGAGTCGACGACTACAGAGTCTCAAGGTCGTCAAGTCCCTCGACACACTCCTCTTGGACCACTCCTGACTCAGCGCAGTTTGAAACTGAAGAGTGACTGGAATACAGACACTGTAAATACTTTTTAATTTATAACCATTATAAAGATAGACACTCTACAACCAGTCAGTCTGAGGTCTGTAGGTCGTGGTGACTCATGTAACACGACTTGCAACCCTGCCTTAAATAACAGGTGATCCTTCTTAGGTAATAAACTAGCGAACTTAAAGGGACACGGCTTGAAATGTAGTTGTAAAATTGTTCATAAGGACAGTTTCTCACTCAAACATTTAGATTTGGCTATAGAAAAAGTGCAACTTTACAGAGCACTTCCTCCGCGAGAGCAGGCTGCAGTAACGTTACATATCAGGCAAAGCTAAACACATCTAGGTTAGCAATACTACACAGCCAAAGCAACTCCGATATTGACTCTGGTTTGACTTCTCCTAGTTTCCACTTTCTTTTTGTTCTTAATTTGCTCCGTTACATTTTTTCTTTTGCGACCAGTAGACGATGTTGAACCTAACTCTACCATGGTGAAAGTCGCCGCCTGTTGCTGGCGAGTCATTGAAGTACTGCTGCAATGCACGCCCAATGACGGCACGCCCAATGAGGGCACGAGATACATTTGTGCATGCACGAGATGGAAGGCTGACAGACAGGGCGGCAATCCAACCCGTAATACTGTAAAAACTGCAACCAATCCGTTTAGCCTGCCCGGCTAAACGGATTGGTTGTATTTTTTACAGTATTACGGGTTCCACAGATGACATTTTTTTATGGATTTTTTGTCAAAGCACTTAAGATATTCATTGCTATCGGGATAAGAGCATTCCATGGAATATAACAAAAAGTGTATCTCGAGCCGGTTTCTGAAACGTACCTACCCCACCTTTAAGGGAGAGGCTTCAAATAAGCACAATGGGTTTTTGACTCCTGCACTGTTTGTCATTTGGTATCTGTTAAAAAATAAGAAATAAAGGAGAAAAGCCATTTACAGGATCTTATCCATGACCTTTGCTGACCGTTTTTTGTTTATCTACTGCCTCCATTTTGTTCTGTAAACTTGTTGGAGTTTAATAATCAATAATCCGTCTCAGCCCACACCGAGCGTTCACCTGTGTTGATGACATATTACTGTTACACGGTAATACAGTACAGAATCATGTTTCCGAGGTGGATTAAACAACTGAAGGTACTTTCTGAAATGTTATACCACTAGATTTTAGATGTCATGATTTCACAGCAACACTTTAGTGGTTTGAATATTCTCTCACTCATTCAGTGTCCGACAGCACGTTTCTGTTGAGGTGAAAATCTCCTGTAGCAGCCAGCAGCAACATCAAAACAAAACCTTTTATCTTTCATACATTTAAAAGATTGTGGCAGTAAAGTGTTGAGTTTACATTTCTAAAACAATTGAGTGATCTAAAATGTAACTGCATTAATCAAATGAAAACCACTGATATGAAAGATGCTTTTATCCAAAGCGTCCTACATACATTCAGCACTGTGGGAAATCCCCACAGGAGCAAGTTGGGGTGAAGTGTCTTGCCCAGGGACACATACTGACTGCAGCAGGGATTAAACCCCCCACTGAGCCACATGCTCCCTATATGGTAATCTAATGCTGATTTCATTAGGCGATAGACACTTTACATGCATAAGCACATCATTATGGAACAAAACGTAAGCTTTTCAAAAAGACGTTATAATGTTAGTGTAGTATTAGGGATTGTGTTTTTATGTAATATAAAGTAATTTGCATAAATACAACAGAGAAAAGGCTATTAGAAGAGGAATCTATGATTATTTCTTCACTAGCAGTTAGGTTAGTCAAATTACACTTCTATTAATTTCTTCCCTTTTTATTATAACACTTTTGTTGGTGCAGAGTTACCCCCAGATCAACATTATGAAGGCATGAACAGAAGTCATTGTTTGGAGTTAATGAGTGAGTCAGGAAACAGTGAACTAAATCAATGCTTTGTTCCTTGTACGTCCCAGCCCTGTTCTTATAAAATGACGGAGCATGCTCCCACATACCTCCAGAATAGCAGAGCTGTTGAAGTTGACATCCAGTGAGTCATCGGCCACACTGTCTATCCAGGGGTCCGGGGGGGGGAGGATGGAGGGGTCGAAGCCCACATCGTCATAGTCGTCGGAGGTGCAGGCGTGGTAGTGGTTCCCTGAGCCCTGGATACTGACCGTGGAGGTGGCAGCATCGCGGGAGTACTGTCGAGAGAGGGCCCCCGAGGACAGGACCTCCATGTCGGTGTCCGGGGAATCCAGGGGGGTGTCCAGCAGGTCCGGCAGGTCCAGGTCTGCCTGCATGGTAAAGAATACATCTCAAAAGCTGTCTCAATGAACACATGGTTGTAAGACTTTTTGACCACAAGGTGTCCACTTGCTTCCAAATTATTTGAAGCCTATTTAGGCCGGGAACAACTTATTTCATGAATAATGTGCCTCTGACTGTAAGAGCTCTTATAGGTGGCAGAGGAGAAGTACTCAGATCTTGTACTTAGGAAAAGTACAACTACCAGAGTGTTGGAATACTCTGTACTGTTACAGTAAAAGTCCTGCATTCAAAATGTTACCCAAGAAAAAGTACAGAAGTATTAGCATCACAATATCCTTAAAGTACCACAAGTAAGAGTATGAATGATGCAGACTATTGCAATTATTGATGTGTTTATGAAGCTGGTAAAGGTGTAACTAGTTATCATTTATGTATTTACTTCTGGGTAGATTGTGGATCCAGGTGTAACTAAAGTCTGATTTTTGTGTTGATCAAACTGTTTATCAATAATCTATATCTGTAAAGTAACTAAAGGTATTAAATAAATGTATTGGAGTAAGAGTACACCATTTACCTCCAATTGTAGTGGAGTAGAAGTACAAAGTAGCAAAAATTAAGTAAAGTACAAATACCTCAAATTAGGTACATTATTTAAGTAAATCTACTTAGTTACTTAACACGACTGTAGTTCTGTATTTTGATACATTTTAATATATTGATACCTTATTAACTAATAAAAAGTGGACGAAGAGAGAATAAACAGTTCCTTTCAGGGGTTCATGTTTAAAGCCGGGTCATTCAAAGCAGCAGTGGTTGCAGCTTACCTGCACCGCTGCTGTCACACTGTTGGAGCGCTGGAACCGACGATACCTGACCACCAGAGGGAGACAAACACAAAATACTGAACAACAACTCTTTCACTATGTCTGCTCCCAGGCAACACATTCATGATTCAAGCTTTATTTATCACATACTCTCAGTGGTGGTTTGGATGTAAAAGAATGTCCCAATTCACAGTCCTTCAAATAATGGGTACATCAGACCTGGGAGTGTGTGGTGCCTTCAGGTACAGCCTAATAACACTACAGGAAGCCACACATTTTCTGTGTGGCCCTACCTGCAGAGTAGGGCCATGGGGGTTGGTTTACTGTCAGCTGGGTGTGCTGACACTGCTGTGGATCTAGGGACGAACACTTTCTGGCAATAAAGAAACCAGGGACCGTGTGGGAGGTGGAGCGGTAATAATAAGATATATTCCTGCTCAGCTCTACACATTAAAATCTTCCAGGAGGAGCTACAATAAATGACTGAGAAGAGGGATGTCTGGACCAGGCTTGGGGAGTAACAGATCACATGTAACCTGATTAATTTACTTTTATATAAACATGGATGTAATCAAATTACTGGTACATTCTTTAAAAATGGGGATTAATAGCAGGTTACAAAACATTTTAAAATAAATATATATATTATAGGTGGAGGTACTGTCTGAATTTTCTTTTAGTTCTTTATTCTTTGATTTTATATTTTGTTTTTTAACGCAGTATAGACAAATGATTTATTGAACAAAAAAAATGGCGTTTTCTTTTAATTGAAGTTGTAAACTAAAACAGCGTTTGTAAACTGATGATGATAACATATTGTTCTGTTGTCTCACATAACATCTTATTGATATTTCTTTACTTTGTATTGATTTTCTTTGTATTATATAGAGGTAATCCAAAAGTAACGGAAAGTAATCAGTTTACATTACATTTATATTGTATTACTTAGATTACGTTACAGATTTAAAAAATATCCATGTGACTTTGTAACGAATTACACTTTTATAGTAACCCTCCAAACCCTGTTCTGGACTAAGTGGCTGACCCTGCTGCCAACACTGCCATCAGAAGTGGAAACACCAGAGATGCATGGACAAATAGCTTAGTTAAGATAATTGTGCCAAATTACTATTCAAATAAGCATCGCCAAAGGTTACATTCTTAAACCCCAATGTCCTTAAGCCTTTTTAAAAAGGCACAAATATCTGTGTGACTTTTTCAAACAAAAGTGTTTTAAATAGCATTTAGAGCTTTATTACTAGCACACTGCAACATGTGCTGACTCACATCATGCATCATGCATTAAATGCTCAACTGGTCAGTTTCACCAACCAACAGTCCCTCACTGTTCCCTCGTCCAGGAGTTAGACTATGCGAAAGTTACTATCCACTCTTTCTCACATTATGAATAAGCTGTCTGACAACACTGTGACCTTCATCTTGATTTTAATACTTGAATCTGTTGGTGAGTGAGTACGTGTCTTTTGTACATTAAATTAAAGTGACATACACTACCAGTCAAAAGTTTGGACACACCATCTCATTCAAAGTTTTTGATTTATTTAATTGTTTTCTACATTGTAGATTCATACTGAAGACATCAAAACTATAAAAGAACACATATGGAATTATCTACAAAATCCAGAATAAGATTTATATTACTCCAAAATGCGGTGGTAGCCATGCTGGTTAAGTGTGCCTTGAATTTTGAATAAATCACCAACACCAACCCCAGCAAAGTCCCCCCCCCCCACCATCACACTTCCTCCTCCATGCTTCACGGGGGGAACCACACACAGAAACCATCCGCTCACCTTCTCTGCATCTCACAAAGGCATGGCGGTTGGAACCAAAAATCTCAAATGTGGACTCGTCAGACCAAAGTACAGATTACACTGATCTAATGTCCAATCCTTGTGTTTCTTGGCCCAAACAATTCTCTTGTTGTTGTTGTTCATCCTCAGTAGTGGACCTTTGCAGCGATTGGACCATGAAGGCCTGATTCACGCAGTCTCCTCTGAACAGTGGATGTTGAGACTGTCTGCTACTTGAGCTCTGTGATAATTTATGTAGGCTCTAATCTGAGGTGCTTTAATTTGTGCTTTCTGAGGCTGGTAACTCTTGTGTTTTCATCCTCTGCAGCAGAGATGTCTCTTGCTCTTACTTTCCCGGGGGGGGGTGTCCTCATGAGAGCCAGTTTAATCATAGCGTTCGATGGTTTTTGCGACTGCACTTGAGGATACATTAAAAGTTCTTGATATTTTCCAGATCGACTGGGCTTCATTTCTTAAAGTGATGATAGACGGTCGTTTCTCTTTGCTGAGTTGACTGGTTCTTGCCATGATATGGATTACAACAGCAGTCAAATAGGGCTTTCCACTGTTTCACTAACCCTTACCTCTGCTCAACACAACTGATGCTCTCAAATGCATTAAGAAGGCAAGTCATTCCACAAATGGACTCTTGACAAGGCACACATGTTCATTGAAAACCATTCCAGGTGACGACCTCATGAAGCTTGAAGAATATTATTGCTTGCTCATAAAGAAATGTTTATTAATAATGTGCCACCAGAAGGTCTTAAACTATGAAGAGAAGTGAGCTTCATGACAGTGTTAATGGTGAGCACAACATAATGTTCGACAGTTAACTGCTTGGAACGCTGATCTCCAGAGACCTCAGCTGAGCATTTGTATTCCTTATCACAACTGAAATAAATCAGTTTTATTATAACCTTATTGCTTGGTCCGACTCCTTGCTTCGCAGAGGAATTTTGAAACACAACAAGCTGACTAAGAGAAGCCAAGAGTGTGCAAAGCTGTCATCAAGGCAAAAGGGGGCTACTCTGAAGAATACAAAATCATATTCTGGATTTTTTAACACTTTGTTGTTAACTGGATAATTCCATAAGTGTTCTTTCATAGTTTTGATGTCTTCAGTATTCATCTACAAAGTAGAACAACATTAAAATAAACAAAAACCATTGAATGAGAAGGTGTGTCCAAACGTTTGACTGGTACTGTATATTAGTTCAATTTACTAGGTTCACATTACTAAAAAATCAATGCAGTCCAATACAACAGCGGTGCAATGAATCCTCCTTTCGTGAAATCCACCATACTCAGTGTTAGCTGTTGCAGGCAGGAGTTTATTCAACTCTTCAGCCATACTGGAGGCTGTAGCCTGTGGGGTTATAGCAGGCATGGGTAAACTAAGGCCCGCGGGCCATATACGGCCCGTTGGGCTTTTGAATCCGGCCCGCCGAATATTGGTAAACAATTGTCCAAATTATAGTAAAGACCGCATTCATTTTGCCTTTTTCCTGCAATACCCGGCATTTCAGTTGATCCCACTAGATGGCGCACTCTAGACACAATTTACCTTTGCTGGAGTCTGGTCTATTCTCTCAGCTGGCCCCACTCGGCAACCCGGCAAGATCGGCGAATACAAGTTGTAACAAGCAGTAGCGCTGAGCAAAGTGACTAGAACGCGACCACACACTTATAAAAACACTTATATAAAGTCAGGCAACACTAACCAGGCTTAGTGTGATTCTGTTTATTTGACCTTACTTTAATAACCATCCGTTCACTGTTATTGACCATTTTGAAGAGGCAGACGTTTTCCTTTTGTTTTGTATTATTGCAACTATCGGATGGAATCAATACATGGGCTACATGTGGCCATCACAAGTAAAATCATAACAAAAACTGCGCCGGTAAAATATGCGTGTAGAAAACGGCTTATGCCACAATATGATAGCAACATAAGTAGTCTGATTAGCTAACATCACCTGTAGAATGCCAGAGAAACTTTCATAACAGCGTTGTCATGCCAAAAAGCTTTCAGACTAAAACACATTCACTTATGGGGATGGGGGATATTTATCAGCTGCTTGTGTGACAGTCAGAAAATGAAAACTTTACAGCGGCCGCTGCCGCGAGTTAACGGGAGAATAAATCCCGGTAAACGAGCAGCACTGCAGCGGGCGGTAATGCAGCTGAACCACATTCATAAACAATACACCATGGCACTCTGGAGAAAGGTACAAGGTTGGAGAAGTAGTTCTTTAATTTAATCTGGCTTCGTATAATTAAAAACTACCGACGCAGTCCTCTATTGATGTTGTTGTGAGCGGTGTTGCGGAGAAAACCACCGACGTAAAACGCTGTGTGGGTATAAGGCACGTAAACGGTTACGTCATGACGCAAACGATGAAGCAATGACGCAATAATTCACCTTTGGACCTAATTCACCTTTGAACCTGCATCTGTAACAATGAGTGGACCAAAGAAAAGAAAAGTTAACATTGAGTGCCGAGTGTATAATGAGGAGTGGACAGCTAAATATTTTTTTACGGATCTGCTACTGGCCCGGCCCGTCTGTCAAATTTTAAAAGTCATAGTGGCCCCCGAGCAAAAAGGTTTGCCCACCCCTGGTATAGCCCGTTCGTTCACACGAGGCCGTAACGGAAATGCACGATCTTGTGCGGGAGTACAGCGCCACTTACGGTAAGGTGACCAGATTTTCAAAATTAAAACCGGGGACATTTTGAGTTTTGCGGTCAATATATCATTAACATATTCACTTTTCTTCACTGTTAAAGAAAAAAGGGGGACAATTCTGGTTCAATGTAATTCGAACATTTGAACTGTTGGATACAAACAGAAGGACGATAGCTATATAAGACTTCAAAGGTCTTTTATTTTGAAACTGTACATCAGATTGTCCAGATTCTCTCTGAGTGATTAGATGGGGTGTCCTGCTATCACCCTGGAGTGAAATAAGGCTTTGATACTGGATAGTTTTTGTTTTATTCTTATCTAAAAACAGAGGGATGACATCCCTCTGTTTTTAGATAAGAATAAAACAAAAACTATCCAGTATCAAAGCCTTATTTCACTCCAGGGTGATAGCAGGACACCCCATCTAATCACTCANCACCCCCATTCCTCCCTCTCTAATCCCCCCCACACCCCTTCAAATTGTGAGTGTACGTGCCTGGGCGTCCAGTAAACTTCCTGTCTAAGAGTACACAGATATGCTGATATTAGGGGCATCAATTGACTTCTGAGGATTGTCATGCCCATGCAAATGTTCGCTAGATTGTTATCTGTGATTGCTTACCGCGGGTCTGGGTGTGGGTTCACACAGGAAATATCCCTCCATGTCTCTGTGGACAACACAGACAAGGGCAAGTCTGACATCTGGGATAAGTGGAGGCCAAGCGCTGTCTCTGGGGGCCGAGCAGTGGTCAACAAATGGGCCACTCTACTATAATCCTGTAACTGTTGCTCCTTGCTGCTTCGCTTGGTGACCATGTGAACAGTTGAAACGGAGCCTGTGGCTTAGAGAGGCTGCATAGACACTGCATGATGCAATGTGGTGCAACAAAGTCGCTGTCAGATACCAGGTGGTGGTGCCCCTTTTATGTTAGCCTGTCAGGGATTTATTGTGGAGAACGGACACACTGAGTGATGTCTTATTGTTGGTAGATGAATTATTCTGAAGGAGCCTGCTGTTTCTGTCGGCATTATTAATGTGAATCATTGCATAGTTATCAAAGACCTGCTGACTCACTTAGGGAGTGCCACCTGTTCAGGTGCTGCCTTCACGTGTAATGCATACCAACAGGGCCAAGTCAGCGCTCACACATGAATGGTCCTGCTTCCAGATAAGTGGGGAGAATTTACGAATAAACAGATTAAGCCTGGTATGTTGTTAGACCCAAACACTGAGAACCACTTTGAGTCTCACAGCTCTCCCATGTGTACACAAGTCATCTGACGGGTCAAATCACATGACTTTACTATCCTCTTTCAGGACGTTAAGGAAAGGGTTGTTTGCTGTTTGCTAAGGGCTGCAAAGATATTTTTTATCTCTTTTTTGATTTTTGTTTTTTTATTATACCTGTATTACAATGTTTTAATACAATAGTATAATTATCACTGGAGGGCATGTTATGACATGTATGTCCATATCAAGTGTTTGCTTCTTTGTTGTCTGTACAATAATATAGAATTCTCTTTTAGAAGTTGGTAGTACATTATGTGAAAGCATTTTTTGTTTAAAAAAAGAAAATCATGTATACAAGTAGTACAAAGTCACTATTACAAATCTGTAATGCTTTTCTCCCCAATTGCTGCTAAAGTAAATGTGGGCATTTTCAGAAGAGCTGAATCAATAAGTCAGTTCATCTTCAATTATTTTCACAATTGGTTTATTTGCAGTCACTTTTGCAAATAATACCCCAGACATCGTCTGCTTGGTACTAGGGCTGCACGATTTTGGGAAAAAATCTAATTGCGATTTTTCTGACAAATATTGCGATTGCGATTCGAATTGCGATATTTGTTTTTAAGCGACCCAACTTAAGTTTATTGTAAAATGCAGCCATAACTCTGGCTAGGAAGGTCGTATCAACGTACTCCCGTCTCTAGTACCCCCGCAGCCCGAGCTATGAGTGAAAGAACTGAACTTACATGAAACTTCCGTTGGGTTTCTTTAAAGTCAAGCTTCAGTTTATGACTCACCCTGTAATAGAAACATGTGATGGAGCATTACTAACCTGACTCAGATGCTTTGTTTCACCAAACCATCCAGGAAAGCTCCATTGGAAGCCATTTGGAAAGGGCAGGCACTTTCAAAAATACTTGGCAGGTGATTGGATCAATCTATCACCTTCTATCATGGTCCACTTCTGATTGGTTAATGGCTGATACATGTGGAGCACAGCACTTCTGATTGGTGTGGATGACTGACACACAAGAAGATTTTTTTTTTCAAATCTTTTTTTTTTTTTTTTAATCACAGGCTTTGCGATTTGATAATCGCATCATTTCAAATCGCGATTTCGATTTCAAATCGATTAATCGTTCAGCCCTACTTGGTACCAACTTTCTCCATGTGAAGATTGGCTGCGGTTCTGTTTTACGTCGCTGAAAACTATATCTCTGGCTTTTGGAGAGTTGGTGGAAGACAATAAATATTTACAGATGTCACTTTGGGCTGTGAGACATGTGAGTAATATATATTTTTAAACAATTTAAGACATTTAATAGACTTAAATGGAAGTTTGTTAAATATGCACATTTGACCTCCTTTTGGACGAGTTGTAGACTTCACAAACACGCCTTTTATCAAGAAAGTAATCATTTGATTAAATAAAAAAAGAATGAAAATGCAGCCCTAAGTTAGACCTTAAGAGCTGAAAAAGATTGCACTGCAATAAACAATCCCTTTTTATTATCCATTAAGCAAGTAATGAATGAAGTGTCAGAAAGTAGGACAATTATTATTTTCCAAAGCCCAAGTTGATATCTTTAAATTGCTTGTTTTTATTCAAATAACAGCCCAAAAATATTCAATATACTTCAATACAACACAAAAAAAAATAGCGAATATTCAGATTAAGAAGTAGAAACATGATAATCTGGCATTTTTTGTTGAACTATTAATTCATTTTCAAAACAGTTGGTTATTAATAATCTGCAGATTGACTAAGCGACTAATCATTTAAAGCTCAACGCTGTAGTCATGTACAGCAGATAATAGTGGCACCTTAAATGCTTCACAACACTAACCCCAGTGGCTTAAGGGTTATGCTCTGATTTCCTGCTCTCCAGGATGAATGAGCAGATTATAACACAAGTTTAAAAGTCTTAGAACAAACTCAACCTTTGTCCGGAGAATGGAGTTCTGTTTACAAAGACATAAATCCAACATACATTCCAGCTATTGATGGTCACTTAAATCCTTGTTGACCTGCTTCAGCAGCCACATATTCTACATTTTTGCTGTGGTGTGTTTATAGAGAAGGCTACAAGCTGCCGTCGCTCCATGCACTTCTTTCCCTTTTAACACAAAGACAAGCTTTAATGGAGCTAATGTGATTGTCTCCAGAGCGAGGTGATGGATTCCTGCACATACTTGAATCTATTAGTCATCCGTTCCTGCTCTTTTCATTCTCACCCTCCTGGGGTTGTCTTATGAGTCGCCGCTCAGCTCCTCTCTGAAGGTCCCTAATCAGAATTTGAAAAGGCTAAGTTAAAAGCCCTGCTGCACACAAATCTCTAAATTCAATTTGTGGATTGACGTTACGTTTCTCTGTCCCTGAACAATATGCCGTATGACTCACGGTGATGGTTTGCTGTTGTGTGAGCTCAGCAGCCAACCCTTTAGAAACCACACTAGAGACCAACTCGACCTCTCAACACAAACACATTGGAAAGTGTGTGTCACGCTGCACCTGCTTACACCTTTTAAACCCTGCAAACTCTCAGAAGCCCTCTCTCTTTCATACATCACAACAAGATGTTCTTGTGGTCAAAATCAACGTCAGCTTCTGAGTCATTTCAGTAACTTGTGGTTCTGTGACGACTGTAAAGAAATCACACCTGTCGTCATCACACATCATTGTTTTCTCTCTGATAGCTAACCTGCTTTTGACACTGACACACTCATGTAATAATCAGTGAAGCATATCTCCTGAGGAAACTCAAGAATTTGTGTCGTGGAGCTGCTGCTTCCCTGAGTTATAAATATCCAGCCGTAGCGGATATGTTGTGGGTCCAATCAGGTGGCGGGCCCGCTCTGAGGACGCTGCTGTGGAGGGAACAGTTTGGAGCTGAACCCCGCATGAAGCCTCTGTATTGTCTCGAGCTTCCTGTGCTCCCTGAGAGGAGGGGGCCGCTGCTTTTCACACGCTCCCACACATGGTGTGTGTGTGTGTGTGTGTGTGTGTGTGTGTGTGTGTGTGTGTGTGTGTGTGTGTGTGTGTGTGTGTGTGTGTGTGTGTGTGTGTGTGTGTGTGTGTGTGTGTGTGTGTGTGTGTGTGTTGTGGTTTAACAATGCCGTTTGCAAACTGTGAGCTCTTTCTTGCCCAACTGCTTCAAATTGACTTGGGAGTTATCCTCGTTCTTTTTATATTATTCCACTTTCTTGTCTTACATCTATGTTGTTTACTTATTTCTCTGTTTCACTTGCACCATTGTGTCTCTTGCACAACTTTATTTAGATTTCTTCTTGCACTTGATTGGATGTTGCATTATTGGAGGAGCCTAGGATTTAAGATTGTTTTGACAAAGCTATGTGTTAGCAATGGTGCATATGACAATAAATCCTTTCTTGAGTCTTCAAATGATACATGTATCCGAGCTAGGCTGAACTGAAGGATGGTTTAGTGCTGTAGCAAGTTTGAGACTTCTTCTCTTGACACTGGGTCGTACATTCCCTCATCATTTAAGACAGGATGCCGGTGTAATCCATCACTCAAGGAAAGCTGTGCATGGTCCCCTGCTGTCTCCAGGCTTTATCTGTGGAGGGAAACGCTCTCACCGTCTTGTCAAGGTCAGCTTTGAGGGATCTGAACTCCACATTACACATCAGGTTCTTCAAACACTGCAGACTCTATTGCCAAAAGAAAATTAAAGTTTCATTTAGCACACATTTGATTTGATATCTCCTCTTGAATCATAAGTCGGTGCATGCTGGTTAAATTACCAACCTAACATTGGGCATTGGTTTTCACTGATAAACTAATGATATTAAAGGAGACATCTGCTGCGGGACTGTGGCGATATGTTTCATATTTCTGCTGCTAACCTAATGTTCAAAACTAACTTCATCTGTTGTGTTCCTTTTGGTTCAAAGACCCATCCGCAATACTTTTGTGACAGGTTCAATGAGAAATGATTGATTCAATAAGACGATTTTAGTTCCCATTATTCCTTAAAGGTGCCGGCGGCTTGCTGCGTTTCTTTGATAAGAATTGGACAAATTGTGCAGAGAATTTAAAACTCTGTTGTGCTTCTAAACAGTGGCAACTGTGATGCAGATAGTGCCGCCGCCTCCTCCGTTATGAGATGGGGGGGGGGGGCTCTTTCCTGTGCTTGTGAGAGGCCATGGTGTTTGATAAATATTGAGCTGTGGTTAGGACAGAGGTTGACGCGTGTCATTGACCTTTTTAAAAACTGTTACGTAAGAGTCATATAAGTCACTATGACGGGCTAAAGAAATGGCAGCGATGTCCAAAACATGTTTGTTAAGACCTTCAGGCTCTTATGCGCCCCAAACTTAGACACTTTCAAAAAAGCCCTCAAAACGCACCTTTTCACCAAGGCTTTCCCCACTATGTACCGTAATTTTCGGACTATAAACCGCACCTGAATATAAGCCGCAGCAGCGGCAGACCACTCTCGGTTCCAATTTTACTTTTGCGCGCTACCTGTCTCACTCTTTTCCGGCCTCCAGCTTTTCCTGCTGGAACCCGCCGCTTAAAGGTGGGGGTCCGCGGACCGGCCATAGAGCCCATAGAGTTAAA